GGATCTCTGAAGCTGGGTATCAAAACTCAAGCATTAAAGCACAGGATTTTTTTTCCCCCCCATCCCATTCTTGGCGTTTCAGCARAAGCACCTAGGAAGGGCTGCTCATCACTGTGCCTTGGGGAAACCCTGTGAGAAAAACAAACAGGAATGTAAACAGAAATGTAAACAATTACCCACGCAGAACACACTGAGTCTGGACTGTCCTACAGTTGGCAAAAGATGTGTCTTTAACACTGTTACAAAGAAAGCACTTGGGAGGACTATCTGTGGGCTCACAGTGCTCACAGCTCACCTCCCACTTCCTTATGATTCCACTGAAATCAAACACATGGGCTCCCTTTTGCAAATCACAAGCAACAAAAAACAGTGGGACTCTCTGAAGAACTGGGGTTAAACCAGCACTGAGATTTCTGATTCTCCTCAAAATCACTGGTGGCCCTGCTGTACTTAATTTCTGGTACTTGCAATTTTTATCTGAATAGGTTTTAACAGAAAACAGTCATTTTCATACATATAATTCTTCTTGCAGCGTATCTCTTTGTCCACAGATTCCTCCTTGGACAAGGCACATGTGTCAGAAAAAAAAAACCAGATTCCAAATTATGATACAGAGACAGACATCTGCAGATACACATTTTCTTTGTTTGCCTTTTAGGTTGGCGAACAAACCMTGCCTGAAGCTCTATAGTATGCAGACATCTAGTGGTTGGATAATATAATGCAATTACACATCTTTACMGGACACCTGTAAAAACTGTGTACCATCATATCATCATCTGAAGGCCAGATACCTCGGGTCCTGTTGAAAACAGATTCTTTGCCTGTGCAAGAAGGTTTTTTCATTCATTACAGCCCTAGCCACAGGTATGTTGAGATGTCTCTGGTGTTTCTAGAATTCCATTTTAAATTGTGTGGAACTGGGGTGATCAAAACATAAAATCAGAAATGTTCAAAATGCTATAGCACATCAATTTAATCACAGCCTATAATTTCACACTGAGACTCATGCACTTGGTAGTCATTAGAGGCTCCCCTGCCAAGAGCACACAGCTCTCAGAGGTTTTTGTGTTTGTTTTTTATTTTTCTCWTGAGTAAACATCTCCTTATCTMTGTGAATTACTCCATGTTTCTAAGCCATGAATAAATCTTTCAGCTACCTTTGGTTTGCATTTTTTTCTTTTTGCTGGGCCACACATACAATTACCCAGCTGAAGATACCAAACTATTTTCGACTTCTGATCCATAATGAAAGTGACTTCCAACGGACCTATAGTACATCAAAAAGAAAAACCCCGACATCTTCACATGGGGCTAAACACACATTTTCTACAACTGCTTTCTACCTGCTATTTAAAATACATGGTGACATGGTGTCTCACATTCAGCTGTGTGTGTTCACTGATTTATCATAGCTTTCATCTGTTTCAYGCTCACCACTGCCAAATGTTTACATGGGAGGCACTTCAGAAAACACTGTTTGTAGTGTATATTTACATTAAAGCCCAAGGGAGGAAAAGAGTCTATGTCTATGTAAAATCAAGTTGTTTTTGTCTCAATCTCAGACACAAACATCAACTCTAATAATAAGCACGGGAGGTGCTGATGTGCTTGAAGCTCCTGCCTTTTCCAGTGCWTTGCTTTATAAAAGAATGGAGTTTGTTCCATGACCTTATTGCTTTATTGTCTTCCATCTCAGRAGATGGGGAGGTAGGGAATGGGAAAGTAACCCAGGGTTTGGGATAAGGATTGCTGTCCAAGGACAAGCAGCCAGTTCCCTGTCACTGGTGGGAGAGGTGCAGGAGAGCAGCAGTCTGGCTGGATGTGGTTTCTGATCACTGATTTGGGAGTTGGCTGCGAGTTAGTCAGCTGGTGTTACACAACCCARAATGGATCACTTCCAACACAAGCAAGTTGAGATAGAAATAGAGAAGGAATATTTCCAACCATATCCCTGCYAGTGAAAAGGACACTTRAGGAAGTTTCTTTATGYTGCTTTTGCTTYGTAATCTTTATATTTTCTTTTTCTGTGTCATTCAAGGCTTAAACAGCTTGTTGTGTATTTTATAGGGCAAGTTCTTTTCAAGTTTATCTAATATTTCCCTTCTTTTGCCCCATCTTTAGTTGTTTCCCTGATATTTGGGGAGGAGAGGGCCCCTTTGGATCAACATGAGGTCAGGCTGTGGGGAAGGCCAAGCAGAAGCAAAAAGCTGCTGCTGTCTCTGTAAACACCATGGGAAGAACGCTGGTGATAAGCATTTGAAGACGCTGAACCAAAGAATCACAAAAAAACAACCCAGCACTGAAAAGAAACCTTGCATTGGAAGWAATTATTGCAGCAAATCAGGGAGAAGGCTTCAGAAGTGATCTGGCTACTCAGTCAATGCTGGGGTKTTAATTTGCAAATAAGGCTAAGCTGARGTACAACAAGCTCTCCTGGACAAGGACTACATGGATTGAAAGTGCATATGAAGAGTCTCTGTCTGACATGGCTGAATGGTAGCTCTTTTCCTTATACCTGGCATCATACAGATAATTTATTATCAAAGAGGAATCCTCATGTGAGAGAGGGGAAAGGGCATCATGAAGGTGATGCATAAGCAAAGTGATTGTAAAGGTAAGTTCTTTAATACATCTGAAACATTCAAACACGCACTGTAAGAGAGAAAGGCTCATGAGAAAATGGATAATGTCCTCAGAGCAAGTCTGGAACAACATTCAGTATAAAAGACCTGGAGCTGTAAAATGGATAATGGGGGGGAAAGAAGAGGAGCAGGACTTAATTCATTAAGCAAAGAGAGAATGCAAATCATACCAATACCAACAGGGCTGATAAGTTGACGCTAGGCGTATGGTTTGCATACTGAAATATATTAACTTTAATTAAAAGTTCTACAATTCATTTTAAATTGTTATTTTAAAATAGGSAGTTTTATGTGTAGCATTCTAAAGGACACATAGGCATGCTTACAATGGCACCTAYGGTTTCATAAATAAATGTGCACATAAACACTTCCAAACAGGTCCTGCATGGTCCAGCCTCAGGAGGTGCAGTGGGTGGTTCTCCAGCTACCTGACATTTCAGYAGGCAGCACTGATGTACAAAGGAAGAATACATCTCAAAGCAAACTCCATGGCTGATGATACCACCATGAAACCAGCCAAGAAGMAAAAAGAAGGCCAATATTTGCATTCCTTCCACAATTCTCAACAGCTAGAGGGTTTTCCCCTTTTTCTCTACAGCCATCATTCCCCATTTCTACAAAAAAAGGAAGATTCTCTTCACTCTCACTGGAGTGGATGTGACAACCATGAAAGGAATAATTTGCACAAGGCCATTACTGCACCAGTGCTGTGCCCACCAATCAAACCCAATGAACCAGCTGCACCCTGGCAGGAGCTGGAACACACTGATGGGTATGGCTTCTTGTGAAGCTGAATGTGCAGGGATCTCYTCTCCTTCTTGCTTCTGCAGTCTCAGCAAAATTCAGCTGAAATTTCTCTGTAAAATTATTTTTTCTTTATGTTGCCCTGCTGTTAGGCACTTTTACCTCCTCAGCTTGGTCTTCAATTACCCTCTGAGAGTCAGGAGCACGGATGAGCCAACCTTTAGGACACAGACCAGGATGCTGGCCAGGGAACACTCTTGTGTTCTTTCAGACCCATGTCCTACCTCACATCTGTTTCCATACACAGCCACTGGCCCATGTTTGCCAATGGTTTTATCTGGGATCGAGCCTATCCTTTAACCCACACCAATTTATGCCCTTTTATCTCTCAGGTGTATTTTGGGAACACGCGTAGAATTTATTGATCCACTTATGCCTTAATTTTCACAAAAAGGAAAGGTGGGAGYCAGGACAAAAGGCCAAGGCAGAGTAAGTGGAAGCCCAGGATCCCAGCCCAGGTGCAAAGAACACCACACCATGATCTAAAGTAAAATTAAGAGTTTAAAGCCTCTAAATTTTCCTGGAAGCTCCAGAAAACTATAGAAGAAACTGAACACATCACCCACTGAGGGAAAATCACTGATAGCAGGCATCTGCCCCAATTCACCTTCCTTCTCCCAAGAACGGGATTTCCTTCTATTCCCACTAGCTTCCTACAGTTTATCCACAGAAGACTGTGGAGCCAGATTTTGTCTGATGAGGCACAAAACTGCTTTGAAGTGTTATGTCATTGATTTCTTGACTAACAAATGTGAAACTGCTCAACATCTCTTGGACTTATAATTCACATTTMCAATAAATTTTTAGAATTATGTGARGCATTATGCCCATTAACATTTACCTTTAAAAATACTTTCAGAGAGCAATCTGGTTCAGAATTTTAGGAGCTGTATGCTTAAAGAGGAAATTATTAATTTAGGGCCTTAGTTTACCCTCAGAATTTCCTTATCAGTTTTCACAATTTCTTAAAAATATTAATACAAAGGCAAGTATGTGGAACTCTAACTGGAAAGCAGCAGAGCCTTGCCACACTCAATAAAACCTCTCATGGGTGCAGTGTAACTGAAGTAACACACAGAGAGCCCTTCCTGAAAATTCCTCCCTGTGGATTCCTACCAAAACCAGAAAGACTAATTTAACTTTTACCAACACACCATGAATGTGGGTTGACCAATCTGTAATTAGAATGGGTGTGTTTTGTGAATGAATTTGTTGTTATAATTACATCTAGTTCTTAAGACACAAAACAGTTATAACTATTTTTACAAAAGAGGGTTTTTTTTTTCTTTCAAAGCCAAGCCTAGGAAAAAAAAAAAAAKCCTGACAAATGTTGAGACAAGTTCACTAACCTCAATTCCTCAGCAGTAGTAGTATTTATATGACTAGAAGTTCACTGCACAAGGCAATGCTTGAAAGAACAGCAAACACAGGAAGGGAGCACAGGAAAGGGAAATAATGGACTTTTTAGTGGAGACATTACATCATTTGCTTTGCAATGTATCCGTATTTCACAGCCACAGGAATATCAGCCAGCTCCAAGATAAGGAACATGTTTATTTAGAGAATAAATCTAGTTCAGATTTCATCATAATGTCAATATTTGCCATATTACTACTACAGATCCTGTCAGTTAACACTCAGTAGTTAATAATAAYGTTGGATGCAGAGATATCTTCTGAATGAGCTGTGCTTGTAACCTGAGAATTGTCAGGTTTGGAGCTGGGTTCACTCCCCTTTTGGGGGGTTCTTCCATTGCTGGGTGCAAGGAGGCAAGAACAGGACTTCATCTGGCAGAAACCAGATGACTTTCACCTCACAGAACTTTGTTTTATTTTCTCAAGATTTTAGTACCTGACAACTAAGACAAATTATCAGGTTCCTGTCAAAAACTGCAGCCAGGCCATTGCAGCAGAGACTCCTCCTGCCCTGTGGTATGAGGTGGATCAGGGGGAGGCTGGGGTGTGGTGATTGTGTRTTGGGGTTGGGCTCTGGCTGCAGCTGCTTGGGGACTCACTGCCAAAGGAAGAGGGGCAGCAGCCAGTGAAGCTGCTACATGAACATGCTGCAGACACTGCAGGTGGAAAGTGTGGTTTTGGCCAACACTGAAATCTCGAACCCATCGTACAGATAATGGGATTATACTTCATTAAATGTGGGCAGGAGATGGAGATAACCCTAAGAAATACAAGTTCCTCTAAGCCCAAGGAGCAGTGTGCTGATTGCTGCTCTGCTAAGCCCAAAATGAAGAGATGACCTCATGGTAGGCTGCTTGCTTTACATTTTCTGTACATTTCTGTGCATTTTCTGTTCACGCTGCCAAGGTTTATCTCCAAAAGAAATGTGTTTCGGCAGCACACACAAAACTGCTGAACACATTGAGGGGTCAGCAGTATCTGCTCCCCCTCACCCAGCTCACACACAGTGTGTGGGTTTGTCTTGTTGTTTCTGCTGCCCCTAATGTACACATAAATGACTCAGAGAGCTCATAACTCATTATTCAGCAGCAGCTCTGCCCATAACCCTTGACAAGGTGGATTAAGGACTCTGACTCTGCATTTACCATTGCCTGGGAATGACTTTGTGATTGATGACCAATCTGTCCCAAGGGAATGGCCTCCACTTTGTGATCCCTCAGTTTGCATCTTCATTGTGCCCCAGCCCAGAATTTGCCATCTGTGCCTCGCACTGACACAGGTGCCTGCTCAAATCTGTCCCCTCATGCCAGGGCAGTGGACCTCACTAATAGCTACAATGATCAAAGCTATTGCCTCCCACATTAACTCTGTCCTTCAGATGTTGGCATTTCTCAGGAATTAGAAGCTATGAGRCTGACTAGCTGGTTCACACCACCCTTGCCTTATCTTCTGTCAGATAAGCCATGTGTGGCCCAGAGTGGCAATCCCCATGCTGTGCAGTGAGCTCAGGACATGCAGAGTAGGGCCCCAGACCACCATCCTCAAGCAATGTACAGAACAAATGGAACTGTCATAATTCACAGGAGAACAAAGGCTGATAATTTTCTGCCTGAATTGAGCACTTTTTCTCAAAGTTCCATGGCTCATCAAGTAGAAAATAATCCAGACAATTCTGTTTATTTTTATATTGGTTAGTTTTCCCTAGTTCCAAACTAAGGAATTTTATTTCAGTACCAGGAACTGTTATTTCAGTAAGGTTCCTAGTAATGCAAGTGTCACTCAGCTTTATTCAGATAAACCATGTCAATTGCATATGTTTGGCAGAGAAGTGCTCCTTTCTGCCAAAAAATTAATTCTAAATTTGTATAATACTCTTTGTGAACAAACAATGTTTTTATTATCTTTGTAGAATGTATCTCCTCTCTACAGAAAATATGGCTACTGACAGCACAAGAAACGATATGGAATAAAATTAAATCGAACATTCAAAACAATAATGAGTATTTCTACATATTAGCATTCATAGCAAGCTTAAAATCAGTACTATTTGGATCACAGATGACTACTGAATGCTATGGCAAAGTAGCTATAAAAGCAATGATAACGACAATTTAAAAATAGTTAACAGTATGAATTGGAAGATTTAATATGTTTTCTTCTTTTAATGTACAGCCCCATTCCCAGAATTTCACTGGACCATGTGGACAGACCAACTGTCACAGCTGTCTATCAAGGCTGAATTAGATGAAGACAAACAATACAGGCTTTGTGGTTCAACTGAAGCAGCAGCCTCAAAAGTTTCCATTTCTCATCTGCAGGCACTGTGGGAGCATTGTCTTCCCCCTCTCTGAAAAGAGAATGGAACAATTATRTTACTGAAATTCCTCTGCAGTGGGTCTGAAAGACTGTTTATGTCCAGCCAGGGAGACAGGGAAAACTAAAAGCTGRGATTTCATGACAGCAGGTGGGAGCAGTTTCAGGGTATATACTTCAGTGACATAATGGTACTGATTCTTCTCTTTTAGGGTAAAGCCAGTGCTGGAAGATTTACTAGCAATGGAGGAAATGGCAGTAAAAATGCAAAGTTTAATGCAGTAGTAAAATTATTAATTCAAAGCAAAGTTTTACAATTGGCTTTCTGAATCAATCTGGTAATTGATTCTAACCTGGTGCTCATGGTAGTAAACTAGAAAGAAAAATACACTGGTCATAGAGAACTTTTTACCATTTACTGTTTTAGGGGCCTTGATAAGTGAAGTGTGGAGTACCAGCTCTCATGGGAGTCAGGTGGGCTCAAGGGATAGAAAGCCATCACCCAATTTGTCCCAATAGCAGTAACATTCTTATTCATTAKCAGCATTAATCAATACTCGATTTCAGGCAAACACATATTCATGTGCTTTGGCATAACCTTAACAATCCAGGTGCTGAGGTTGCCTCAGTGTTCTCAATTCAGAAGCAGTATGTATAAGAGTGTCAAACTTCGTTCTGTTGTACCAATAATTTCCTTTTTTTTTTTCCCCATGAGGTTGCTTTAGTGTTAACCATAGCTCAGTGTGCATACACAAACAACCTGAAAGTGCTGGTGTGCAAATGGTCACCTGAGRCTACAACTGCTTGCAGGAACAGTCAGCACATCCTAAATAGATCCCACTCTGGCCCTGACAGAGGAAGGGAGAGAAGAGATTGTCGATCACCAGCAGCGCTGCTGAGTCAGTGCCTACCCATGAGACAATCTGTGATGTCATTTCCMTGTACTCCCTGGTTATCATTCAATACCCCCCAAAAGTCCTGTTGTCTGGCAGCAGCACCAGTTGATGGTTCACTTGAACAACTTTCTACCAGCTGCCTCCTCCACATAACAGCACAGAGGATTCCCAGTTCTTCCTCGTGCTCCATATAAAGATGTAACCAACAAACAAACAACAACAACCAAGTAATAATAATAAGTTACTCTGTCTCTGCAACAGCTCTCCACATGTTTTCCAGTGGACTACTGATAAAAGGCAGCAGGGACCAACCCCCTCCCTGAAGTRAACAGAAAGTTTCCATTTGTGTGGCCAGAAGGTACTGGATCAGCGAGAAAGACCGAAAAATCTGAGTGAGAAAGTTCAAAAGAAGCCAAAACCTTTGTGTTTTTAAGGCTCTTTGTAGGTAAACTGATGCTGTGACACAGTGACACTTCATCAATCTCAATTAGTGCTAAACTAATTAAGAAAACTGTTTTACACACTGCAGTGAGTAGTACCTCTCTTCTTTCTTGGATGATCCCTAGTGTGATGTAAGGGTGATTGAGTATCTAATTACTCCTTAAYTGAATGCACATTTTATACAATTTTTAGCTAGTTCAAGCTTAATGCTTTTAGTCCAAAAGTCAGTTGGTGAAATTAAGTTGAACTGGGATTTGGGTACATTTTGTATTAATGAATTACTTTTGGAAAGAACCCTAATTATGAGCCAGTACAAAGATCTCCGTGGTGTTTGTTATAGAAATACTTAATGTATTATCTGACAAAAGATTGATTGTACAGTCAGGTAGAGTTATTATTTATGTTTACCCTTCATTCTTGTTTAACAATAATTTTCCTAGCATGCTAAATCAATAGCACTGCTCCATAAGATATGTGGTCAAGTAATACACTATTTAGGCCAGAGGTTCATGTAGATATGAAGATACCTTCTTTTCTTACTCTTCTGAAAAGTTTTTGCTCAAATGCAAGATTTGAGCTACAACTGTACAAATGGGAATRTATATTATAATCAGAAAACTGCCCAGATGCCTTGTTTACAGATTAGATTTCTGYTCCCAGAAACTTCCTTTGTTTGGATTGAGTCCTATATATATTAAGTAGAGACCCWCTGCTTCTGGTGAAGTCCTCTACAGATCAAATAACCATTCCCAAAAAAATCCCTTTGACACCAGTGCCATGAAGTGCAAATACCTGCAAAATCTGAGCATTTTTCACAATACCCATGKTTTGAAAAAAAATATTATTAACAAGGTTAATCAAAACTCAGAAATCAACCTCAGAATGTAAAAAAAAGTAAAATTCCAAGAAGATTTATATCTAATTCTTTCATAGAATAATTTTATGTACCATATTCTTCACAAGGAAAATTTTCCAGTGCAAAACTGGGATAAATGCAATGCTCTTAAATTTTRTCTCAGAAACAAGGAGCAGAAGCAGGAGCAAAGGAGCAGAGCTGGTATATACTTAAAAACCAAAGGTCCCGATGTTCCTATAGCAATAGAGAACATATTTAAAAGAGAAGATTTAAGAAAAAGTCAATGAAAAGGATTATTTTTCAAAGTCTTCCAAAAGTGCTGAGAAAGTGCAAATAAAGAGACTATGGAGAAATTAAATAGGATGGCCACAATAACGTCTTTCCATCTCATAGAGACAAAGTTAGAKGTCCTACTGCAGCAGCTTTAGGTCAAGATCACTACATAAGATCAAAACCTTCATTCTGCTGCTTAAAAGTAGTAAATCTTCTTTCTGGAGAGCTTTTCCAACTCTTTTGTCTTACCATATTCCTCACCACCATAGTTTCACACAAAGTTTCTATCTTTCTTTTTAGAAGGATTTCTTGCCTTCTCCTCCTTAACACTACGATAAATCAAAAAGTTTAAGAGTTCAAAAAAAACCCAAAAGACATGGGTGACAAAACCAGTGCAATACTGGCTAAACATTACCTTTATCCTACACATTCCTAAAAACAGCACCTGAAAGTACAGCCAGGCATGGATTCAGAGTGTCTCAGAAAGARAACTGAGTACCTCACCAAACCTTATCCTTCTTGGAATGCTTTGCATTCCTTCCAAGAAACAGTTACAATTTACTGAGTCTACATCGAGTTCATGGGCATTTAGCTACATCTAGCTAACTAAAATGTATTTCTGTTTGTCTTGAGCTATGGGCATAAATGGTTTTAATTAAAGTTTTGCTGGGTGGCACTGCTCTGTCACAAACTCTGGTCTTATCCACAAAACGTTGGTAACAACAGTCACTGCTGACATTCTTCAGTGGCAAGTATCAGTTGCAAAAACATCTTCGGTAATCCAAATAATTTGGTAATTTTCTTTGCTATTTTTTTACAAAACGTGTCTGTCTGCTTAGCACGAGTTATTTGCATACTGTTCATTGCATTGTCTTTATCCATATGAAATAATGAGAATTAAAGATTCCAATAAGAGTAAGGACCTGTGCCTACCTGGATCTTCAGTTTCAATGGAGCAATAATGCTCTGCTTAAATCTGTGTGATTTCATCCTGGTAAAATGGAGGGCACTCCCAGTGTCTAACTTGTGTAACACTGCTGAAGATGGAAAACATATTGCAGGCTCTTCTCTGTCTTGTACAGACTTATGTACCTGTATGTCCTTCTAATATCCTTGACATTTGAGAGCCTGTTACATTGTATTYTGTATGCACTAATCTCCTTTTCTAAAAAYGAATGYAGYTATATCAATGATGAGTTAAGATTCMTAATATYTTGACTCGCCACTAATTTGCMGCATTTTCCCCACAAGTGAAAATACCATGGCAGAGTTTCAGTGTGTGTTCAGACTCCAACCTGTGTGTTGTGATTGCTGATAAATATGTTGTGAGGGTGAGTTTTGTATGACAGGCACTCCTGGCTCCTGGTTACATGATCAGCTCCCAAGCAGCAGTGTATAAACCATGCACGGTTTATGGTAAGCTGCTAGAAATTAGACTCTCAAAATTCTTTTTATGAAAAGCTGATGATAACAGTGAGTTATGAATAGCAAAGAATGTATGATGCTGATAGAAATTCACAGGTCACAAAATTTAGGAGCACTTGTCAGCATGAACTATCTTATTTGAAGCATAAGCAGGGATCTGATTCCTAGACTACCTTACGACGTTTTTAGCTTTGAAAAGAAGCCCAGTAATCTTCCTAATCTTTACATGCTAAGGGATTTGGACCGTTTTCCATTCCTCCAAAATTTGTGTATTTCTAACAAGAGCTCAGTAARGAATTGAACAAGGTACTAACTCTCRAAACTCAAAATGGTTTCTTTCTCATTTAGGGCTTGATCACTCATTTGGAGTTTGCTATACTGGTGCTCTGGCCTGGACACATAAATACCTACCACAGCAAGAACCTCTTTTTAGGCCTATTATTCTTGGCTGCCTCTGGCTACCAAGTCCCTACATTCTGGCCCCCATGTCACAGAGGTATGTCACTTAAGCAACAAAGTTGTTTTGCTGTTCACTTATTTGAACCATCAGCAATGGGGAAAAAATTATGCTGGCATTACAGGGCTCACTTGCAATCTCAAGTGGGGATTGTACATAAGATCTTAAAGACAGAAGAACAACAGTCAGTTTTGGTGAAAACATGAAGTTCAGCTTCTTTCAAAGACTGAAACTTAACTGTTAAACCAACTTTTAAGCACAAACTCTACATTCATGCAGACTAACAATGACCCATAAAAAAATCACTCACTTAGAAGCAGCATAAATACTCATATTTCAACAAATCTAGGAAATTGGTGTTTGCATTTCTAAAGAACTGGTGTTGATAATCTTTGTTTTGTGTTGATTTGGGTTTTTTAAACAGGAAAATGGTAACAGCAGTCATAGTAGCCTAATGATGCATAGCTGCTGAYAGCTCACTCCAGCTCTGGATCTACRCAACAGGAAAGGATAAAATCCCCAAGAGTTAGAACTGCAGAGTAACTCRTTCATGAACTTCATTAACTGCAAAAGCTACCAGTAAACTGAGAGTAAAGACACACAGATTGCTAATGTGAACGTCCACAAAAATGTAAATTTCACTGAGATCTGTTTAGACATAGGAATATAGCCCATAGCATTGCATC